TTGGGATGGCTGAAAGGGGCCAAGAAGTCTTGGGAATAAACCGGCACCTCCCTTGACTTTTTGCACCTTGTCCCACCCTCCTGGACTCCAGTCCCCAAGCAGCTGAGAAACCAGACGAAAGCAGTGAAATTTTTGTTTATTGCTAAAAGTACAAATGAGAAGTCTGACTAAACCCTGGTTTTCCACCCACAGAGAACAAACGAACGTGGTTTTATTTCAAACTGAACTATAGTTCAGCTTCAATGCTGAGATTCAGAACAGAAGAATGACTTCAGTATTGTAAAACATGCATGTGAAGAACACAAGCCTTTGAAATACCTTTAGCAGTTCACCCCAAGAAAAAAAAAAAAAAAACACAAACCCAATTTCTTAGTAAACTGGGATTCATCCTTAGCTACAAGCCAGAGAGAGTACACCTAGAGTAGGGGCGAAACTGCACAAATCAGAAAAGCACAGGGAAAAGCAATTACTTTAGAAGAGGCAGAGAACAAATACCTTTGTGTTAAGAAAACAGTTTTAAAAAGAAACACAAAAGGTCCTTCCTTGTCCTTCAAAAGTTCTGTAGAAATCAGCTATGAAGAAGAATGTGGAACACGGATTTACAGAGAAAACACAGAGTTTGGGAAGTCTACCGAGTCGCTAATTGCATTTACTACTCCATCATCAATTCCTGTTTCTCAGCTCCATTGGTGTGAATGGGAACACAGAGCTATGCCTGTTTTGCCTACGCTACCGTGAGAGAAGATAAATTAACAGTGTTCTGCCTGTAGCTGCCTTGCATCTCCCTGACCGAAGGAGCGGATTCACCCATCTACCTGGACGCGGTCGGACCGGCCCTACAGCAGACAGCAACGTTGGTCCCCTTGGCCAGAGCTCTTAGTCAATGAAACACACGCAGAGCATGGATGATCTAGATTCGACGCTAAAAGTCAGCCACATCGTGGGCTTTCCATAGCTCTTAATATCTCTGAGATGGACTGAAGGCAGGCAGATTCAAGCTTGCATAGCCATGAAGTTTTAAAACTAACAAGAGTAAGAAAAATAAACACTGGGAAAGGTCTTTTTGTGAAGAGCATTTCCAAAGAAGCTTTTTAATTTTTCTACTTGTTTTCAAGCTGAAAAACCTTCCTATTATGAGTAGCTGTGCCAGTAACCACAGCAGCACAAGGGTACCAAAACAGACCAGGCTCTGAGCAGCTATTCCTCTTTGAAACACAGCACCGTATAATCCTGCTCTGAGCAACTTTAGATAGCATGGTGGGAAAAACACTGCTGGTTGCTGGCACCTTGCCTA